CTCCTCCTCCTCCTCCTCCTCCTCCTCCTCCTCCTCCTCCTTCTCCTTCTTCTTCTTCTTCTTCTTCTTCTTCCTCTTCAAGTAGGCTCCACACCCAGCGTGGAGCCCAACACAGGGATTGAATCACTACCCTGAGATCAAGACCTGAGCTGAGATCAAGATTGAGCCACCCAGGCACCCCCTAATTAATTCTTATCACATATCTTGGAAGGTATAGGGAGCTACTTATAATTTGCCAAAAAAGCCAGATACTTTTAAGTCCCAGTGCATTTGTTTACACTATTCTCTCTGTCCAGGACTCTCATCCCAGCTGGCAAACCCCTAACTGTACTTCAAAGCCTGGTGAAAGTATCATTTCTTGTCTGTAGCTTTCTCAACTTCCACTCTCTCCTACTACTCAGAATGATTGTTCTTTCAACTATGGTGTCATTGAACTCTGAGCATGTATTTGTTAAATCACTTACCCCCATGTATTAGGTAGATTCATCAGGTTTATCCTCTCTCCAGCTCACTGCGTTCTCCATGAAGGCAAGTGTGAGCCCGTCATTGTTCAATTCTTGGCACACCATACAAGCATAAGACAGATTTGTTGAATTGAATTAAATATTAGAAGAGGGCCAAAGCATAAAGGGATTTTCTAGGTCTACGAATTATGCTGGGACTAGGAAGTATGTGCTAACTCTACATACGTGATTCTGCCTTTGGTCTTATCAGAGTGCATGTAATTTACTTTTATTAAGAAACTGTCAAAAAAAGTGTCATGAATATATTTCTTCAGATAAAACATTATTAATTCATTTGTAGCTTAGAACTGACCTTCTCATGACCCAGTTAGCTAAAAGGTAGCTGAATAATTTGAAATATTCTCCAACTGGAATGGGATCACATTTGGGGTTTACTTTAATCAGTGCACCCCCGTCTTGCTTTTGCTCTTCAAAGAGCCCCCTTTGAAGGCATGAGCTCAGGGGAAACCAGATGAACTCTGTCGAATTTTAAACTTGCCACTTTCTCTCCACTAGCATTCAACTTTTCTTCTCTAACCGAACAAGCTAACTGAAGACATATATAATGTAGTATCAATTTATTTTTTTAATCTTATTCATTATGCCACCTTGTTCCAAACAGTCTTTAAGAGAGGTTAAAGAAAAAAAAAATCCAAATCCAAAACCAAACTGTTCCACATTTGGTCCATATTCACCCACAGCATCCCAGGGCTGATCATCAGTCAGTGTGATAGACTTTTGGAAAAATTTTCCAGGTACTAGTAATAGCATTTCCTGAAGTTGGATTTGATTTACAGCAAAGGATTCTGCTGATGCCCACAGGTCATTTCTCTCTTATGATCCATTATGAGTTTGTTCAACCTTGAAATCAGTCACTGAGGCCCCCTCTTGGGGTACATAACGAGGCAGTTGTTGCCCAGTATGCATCCTGGCTAAATAAAATTGTAGCTGACTCATGTCTGCAGGTGCATGTGGGGTACAGCCTATAGAGCAAGAGCGGGAGCTGGAGAGTCAGCCTGTCTGTCTGAGTTTGAGTCTGGCCACACCTCTGACCGTTATGTGACCTTGGACAAGCCGCTTAACCTCTCTATGCCTCACCTGTGTCATCAGTGAAACCGGAATAATAATATCTACCCTGTGGGTTTGTTGTGTGGAATAAGTGAATTAAATCTGTAAAGAGTTTAGAACAGTGTCTGGTACATGGTGAGCACTCGATAAGTGTGAGCTCTTGTGTGTTATACTTTTCCATTTTTGGGTAAGAAAAGTGGGTACAATAAAAAATTAAAGGAAGGCTGGTCATTTTTACAACAAAACTTTATTTACAGAACCGCAACTCAGTCTGTTTTGGTATCACTATTGACAAAATGCCTACAGCTGAGGTATTACTAAGGCGATACACTGATTTTAGCTGTACCTAAAATCACAATCCAACACCATCCCAGTTTCCTATTTCTGTGTGGCTCTGAATGCAGCTTAAAACAAAAACAAAATTCTCTTTATAATGTATAATGGCTTAAGCAAAACACTTCTTTAGTTTTTTTCTATTTAAGGGTTGGAACTGAGACTACACATTTAAAATTTGCTATTTACAGAGAAAGTCCTAGAGAAGAGAAGAAAGATGGAGGTTTAGTTGATCCGCTTTCATAACACAATAACCAGATGACTTTAGAAGAATGTACATAAATAATGTTGCTAAACAGTATATATTGATAATTTTGTGACAAATTCATTTACCTAACATCGTGCTGAGGGATTAAGAGATTTTCTCCATAGATTTTAAAGTTTTATCTTATTCTATTTGCTGATTCACAAAGTCTTGTTCCATTTTAAGGAGTTTTCGTCAGTATAACGCAGGATAACCAGTATCTATGGAAACCTAAGAGCTTGGTTTTTAAAAAAAATTCCTCTTAAACTTTAATTTCCAGTTGAGCTTGTCATATGTATGCATGGTAATATGCATGGATATATGCTTGGTTGGCATACACACATGTATATGTACGAATGCCCTTTATTCAAGAGTATAAAATTAACAGTATCTGGTATCTCATTGTAAGAAAACTTCCCCAAGATTGTGAGGTAGTTGAGTGACACATGAAATAATCTTCTCCAACCTGAATTTAAGAATACACCTTTACTGGGTGGGGGGTGGAGAGAGGAAGAGGAATCAGTAGAAGAAAAGAACTACAATGGCTCAAATTAAATTCAGGTAATGAGACTGAGATAGCAAATAAATAAATCAACAAATGTCCCATTTTCCCCCCAAAAAGAGAAATCAGTAGTAAATCCTTACTAATACATTTAAAGTCAATCCATTAATATGTATTTTACATAGGAAAGAGTCTGAATATTATACATATCATTATCCCTCCCATTCATCGAATACACTCCTCTGCTGAGATATCTAATGTGTCTTCATCTGTATTTTCCTCTATCTCTGGCAAGTTGCCCCAAAGTAGGAAGTTTACACCTGAAAAGAAAAATCATAAAATTACTTAGTGCTGGTTACTATTACAACTCAGAATATGCTATATGAAACGTTATATGTTAACATTCTTATATGAAACCGTAGTGTTAACAGTAAAGAGAAAAGATATTAAAGAATATACCATAGATAAAAATTATCTGATATCATTCATCTAGGGCATAAACATTTTTTTAGGCCCTTTTAAGCAAGTGCTTGAATCTTCGAACTCCAAAGGATCTCAATGGTCCATTTCCTTAAACCCTGCCCCCAGGTATATTATGCCATAATCACTCTACACTGATAATTTTCAAATCTATTTTAATGATTTTTAAGGATGGAGATCTTGCAAGATTATTTTAGATTAAGTGTCTCTTTGGAGGGTAAAGGGAAAAGGCTTGAAATAAGTCTCCTCATCTCCTCAACAAGCATGGAAGTAGCTGGTGGCTTTTTTTGTGATTAAAGAAAGCAAGGTTTTGAAGTCAGTTATGATAGGAACTGCAGGTGGGTTTTAGTTTGGGGGCTATGAAGGTAGACCTTTAGGACCAGGTTGTAGCTGCCAATACAATAAACAAAACAACAATCTAAAGCTTCATAATGAAAGGACAGATTTCATACTGAAGACTCCAGTATAGTATATAGTAAAACACCATACACATGATAGAGGATCAAGAGATGGTTTATTCTGGGCGCGTACTATATCCTATAACTTGAAAATACTAAATTGGGAAAAATACCATTATTAATTGACTTCTAGGAGAGCCAATGGAGTCCAACAAGGAAAGCAAATCTCACGCTCTGCAGTTGTCAGTGTGGGCACAAGGAGGACTCAGTAAACTCTGGATACTCACTCCACACACACTGAGATAGTGGAATGAGCCAGGGTTTGGAGATTTGGTTTGAATCTAGTCACTGGTAATAGCCACTACTACCGGTACACCATGGATGTACTACCTTTACTACAAATGTGTGTAACTGCAGACAATATATATTATTTTTTGGGTGTATTTAAATTTTTTGTAGTGTGGCATTATATGTAGCTTTTCTAATTTGCTTTTTTCATCCAACATATTTTTTTTGAGACTTACCTATATCCATATGTATAGCTTTAGCCCATTTCTTTTTATTTCTGTATTCTGTTGTGTGAATTAAATATGTATACAGCAAATATATACATATATAGCAGATAGAGCACATCTCTCATTGCTTCCTAACTGCCCATTTTGCGCAGGAACTCAAGGAAATATGTACAAGGAGGTGCACTGTTGCATTGCTGAAACAGTGGAAATAATCAACCCTCTTGGTTGAGATACTAGAATCCAATCAGGCAAGAAGTTAGCATCTATTTCATGCTGGGGGGTGGATACAGATGTCTCTCCTATTAGTTTCTGTAATTTTTTTGTGTGTGTGTTTACACTGTTTATAATAAAAAATATTTCCCCTCCAAGAATGAACAGCATTCTGCTTCTGGTAATATGGCATTGATGAACTAACAGGATAATAAGGAATTACTAGGCCAAAACCTAAGGGATAGTTAGAACCCATAAAGGTAAATGAGGGCTGAAGTCAATTCGCCTTTGAGGGCATTTGCCAATCCCAGGGAATTTGAACCGAGGTTTCTCAAGCATCCTCAGGAAAGTTTCGGGAAATCAGGTCGACGTGTGAAGCCTAGCCTAGAACACAGACCTGGGGCCCTTTCAGTCTAAACATTCTAGAATTTCATAAAGCTTGTGTATTTATTCCTTTGATGCTGCTGATTCAGGTGATTCAAGGACAGTCCCAACATCATGAGAAACCCTGTTTTATACCAAGCCTCTAGAAGGTCTTACTTTAAATCACAATATTAGGGTTACAAAGGAGAAGTTTGATATTCTTGGAGTGAACACTCAGAGACATGAGTAGCTTGGCACAATTGGTTCAAAGGAGAAAAAATAAACTAAGAGATTGGATCTGACAGAAGGAGCACCTTCCTTTCTCTGTTAAGAAGGGAGGAAGGAAATCCTGTGATACATCTGTTTCTCATGGATTAGATTCAATGTGAATGGAAGAATGCGGGGCTTTTATCTTTGAAAAATTGACAAATATTAAAAAGTAAATCAAAATGGAAAAAATCTCCACCCTGTGTTTTGAATTCTGTGAAGCAGGAAAAATAGTATCAAAGCAGAAACTTCCTTTAATGTGTCCCATGATCAACACAAATATAAAACTGGAGGCCCAATCTAGAAGCTCATATCTCAGGGGAGCTCAGATAAGTCCTTCCTCAAAAATGGCCTTCTGAACATCCTGAAGTCTGAAATTAAGACCTGCAAATGATGGGTTGAGAGCTACAATTGAACGCCAGGTAATTTAAAAAAAAAAAAATCAGAGTCTATAAAAACCTATGCCTAATTGGCAGGTTTGAGGACCCTGAGAACCTAGCTTACAATTCATGATCTTTAGTCTGTGAAGGCAAATCACCCTTAAGAAAAGGAATATAAGGAATATATTTTAAGTTCTGAAGAAGATTAAAACATACATCTAAAAACCTGAGAGTATTAGTGCCAACCTGGATTGTTGAGTTGTTTAAATTGTTCCCACTAAAAAAATCCCTTAAAGGTCAACCTGGTCTCTTGTGTAAATAGATACTAGACAGAGAAGACATGTGTCCTACAACAAAACTGCATGGCTCCAGACAATATAAAATGTATCATGTAAATATCCTTTAAAGAATTGGTTGTATGTTAAATAGTTAGTACAACATACTGGTATTAAATATTTCCCTCGAATAAAATTCCATCATAATTTATTAATATAGATGTCAAAATGTCTGTTTTTATCCTGGAGCAACATCACCAAGTTCAAAGGTTACCTAGCCATCCTCCCTCCCAGCTCCTCACTGCCCCAGCCTCCCCTCCCTGCTTTCCTACACACACACACACACACACTCACACACACACACACACACACACATGCATAATTGACCATCAAATCTAAAATCTTCCAAAATTCCCTGGAGTTATAATAGGTATCAAGGCAACAATTTAGAGCAACTAAAATATTAATTTAAAAAGACCGAGAAGAGCCACCTTTGAGGCTCTTGTATACAATGACAACAGCAGAAATGGTGATGAATTTTGGCTAGTAGTTTCCCTAACTGAATGTTTGGGATAAAAGGACTCAAGTTTCACTCTTTCAACCCAGGTAAGAGAGTTTCAGAGGGAATCCTAAAACGATCTATTGAGAGTTTCACTCAGGTATTGATAAATAAATGTTAGAGAAATTTCTGAGTCAGTTGTTTCTTACCGGTAGAGTCTAGTCTGTTAATATCATAAACTGCCTGGCTGTGAAACATCCAGAAGTGTCCATTGTTGCAGGAAAGAAGGCAGGAACAACATGGAACGATCACATGATAACCTACAATGTTCCCACTGAGACAGAAGGTAAATATAATTAGATACCACCTAATAACTGGCCATATAAGCATTTTTATGTGCTAAGGTAAATAGACCATATGAAGATATCATTTCCTCCTAACAACCTCCATTGTAGGACCTTTGGGATAGGAGTTACTCCGGTGATGTTAAATTTGACAGACTCCTGCCAAATGGGAAAATGGTCTTTCAGTTAAGTGAAACAATACTAACACATTCTCCATTTCTTTGCTAGTATTACTCTGTGCATTTTCCTTAAGCTAGCTTCTAAATGCCATGCCCTAGGGTTGTGATATGTTCTGTAAAGTACCCACAACTGATGAGCTGTGCAGATACAATACATGAAATCAACTCAGATCTGTGGGTAAAAAGGTTTTTGCTATGCCCAGGACTGCAGCAGGTTAGGTTCTTCTGTGTTCTAGTTCAATGCCAGCACCTAAAAACTGTTTCAACAGATGGAAGAGTAGGAAGACAGCATGAGCCCCTGTAAACCAAACACAAGCTGGCTGCTCTAATTTTAGTCCCGGTGTTTTGAAGGAATTCAGAAATAAAGCAAATCCATAGCTTCTAGAGAAAGTTGCAAAAGTTTTTACTGTCTTCAAGATTATCCATCTGATTATAAGTACCTAATTCTTCCACAGATTTTTTTTCCCCTATGTGGTCACTATTAAATAGAGTGAATATACAGGGAATGTTTTAGCTAGTGCTTTTTCTTTTTTTTAAATGACAACACGAACTACTTATACCTTGGGTTGTAAAAATTCTTATTATAGCTTGTTTCCTCCCTGTGAGATGTGGGAGTCAGTCATTTTTGTGAGGCCCTATAAAAAAATACTGTAAAAGGTACCAGCCTACCTAAAATATGTCTTCTAATCATAATCTGGTTGAAAGGCAAACAAATGAAAGGAAGTTGTTCTTGGACTGGGACTGACAGTTATTTGTAAGACTATACTGCAAGAGTAAATTCTATGGCTTTAATCATCATCCATATTCATTCACTCATTCAGCTCATGTTTATTGAGCATCTACTATGTGCCAGGTACTGTTCTAGGTGCTGAGAATCCAACAGTAGACAAAGTCCTTGTTCTCATGGAAATAACATTCTAGTAGGGACACATAAGATCATTTTGATCCCCTGTTAAAACCCCTTCAGGGGCTTCCCATTGGCCAAAAATCAAAACAAAAACCCCCTTCATACCAAGGTCTAGATCTGTGCTATCCAAAATGTGGCTATTGAGCACTTGAAGTTTGGCTAGACTGAACTGAAGTGTGTGTAAATAGAAAACACACAAGATTTCAAAGACTAAGAATAAAAAATAAAATGTAAAATATTGTGTTAATAGTTTTTTATGTTGGTTACATGTTGGAACAATATTTTGGTTATACTGGGTTAAATAAAATATACAACTTAAATTAATTTCACTTGTTTCTTTTTTACTTTTTAAAATGTGGTTATTAGATTTTATTTATTCATTTATTATTTTTTAAAGAAGATTTTAAATTACATATGCAGCTTGTAGATTTCTATTGGACAACGGTTCTGACTATATCTCTAACCTACTCTTATACAATTCTCTCTTGATGTTCACAATGTCTCAGCCAGGCTGGCCATCATCTTCTTATTCCTTGAACATGTCAAGCTTCTTCTTGCCTTGGGTTCTCTGCACTTGCTCTTCCGTCTGCCTAGAACATTTTCCCTTGGGGTCCTTCTCATCCTTTTGGATTCAATTTCAATGTTACCTTCTCATGAGAAGGCTTCCCTGAGCATGCTACCTCAAAGAGCTTTTATCTGCTCTCCCAAACTATATTATTCTCTATCATTTATTATTATTATTTCCTTTGGAGCACTTTCCATCCTATTAAATATCTTCTTCTTTTTTTTTTTTAAGAAGGCTCCACGCCCAATGCAGGGCTTGAACTCACAACCCTGAGATCAAGAGTCACATGCTCTATTGACTAAGCCAGCCAGGCATCCCAAACTTTATCTATTTAAAGTAGGCTCCACACCCAACATGGGGCTTGAACTCACAACCCCGAGACCTAGAGTCCTGTGCTCCATTGACTGAGCCAACTGGCAATCTCCCACACACTATTCAATATCTTATTTATTTAAATATCTTACTGATGGGGTGCCTGGGTGGCTCAGTCGTTACGCATCTGCCTTCGGCTCAGGTCATGATCCCAGGGTCCTGGGATCAAGCCCTGCATCAGGCTCCCTGCTCAGGGGAGCCTGCTTCTCCCTCTTCCACTCCCCCTGCTTGTGTTCCCTCTCCTGCTGTGTCTCTCTCTGTCAAATAAATAAATAAAATCTTTTAAAAAAATAAATATCTTACTGATTGCCTTCCCACTAGAATATAATGTCTAAAAGCCAGTGACTTTGTCTTACTTATTGCTATATTTCTAGCCCCCATATCAATGACTAGCACATAGTAGAACTTCAATATACAGTTTGAATGAATGAAAGAATGAATTTAAATCGTCATTAGCACAAAAGAGTTTGAATATTAGGATTATAATTTATAACCCAAACCCCATTTAAGTGTAAAAAAAAAATCTCAGCTTTCTTCTCTCTAAAATGGGACTAATAATACTCAAGTCTGCCCACCTCTTAGAAGATAATAGTAATAGTTTTCATCTGTGTCATAATTTGTAATCTATTAAGCCTTTTAACATTCATAACACTCTATAAACACAAAAGATAATAAAATTTCTATCTTCTTAAGTTGGAAGATAGTTTGTGTTTTCTTAAGATATAAATTAGACAAGGAAACAGAGGTTCAGGGGTTCAGAGGTTTAAGGAGTTTACTTGAGATCACATTGAGAGTAAGAGTAGGGCCAGGGCTCAAACCTGATTTTTTATGATCATAACTCTATGGGTTTTTTTCCTCCTAAACTATGTTGCCTTTTTCTGAAAATGAAAGCAGATATTTGTCAATGCACTTTGAAAAATTGTAAAATCATATACAAATGTGCCACAAGACCCTTTTAAAAAATTACTCTAAATAACAAATGGGTTTTCAATGGCTCATTGCATGGGTTATAACCAGTGCTCGATTCAGCCCACTGAACCTTTCTCCGTGCTGTGGTGTTAACATCCATCTTCCAAATGCAGGGCTGTCTAGAATCTTGCCAAAAAATTACCATTTTAAACATGCGATGTCCTTCAGTTTACATTTGCAGATTTCAGTGAAATAGCATCTTCCAATGAAGTCCACAGCACTGGAGAGAGAAATGTGCAGAAATAGTCAAGGTACTTTTTAAAAAAATGTTGTAAAAAGCACATATAATGTAAAATTTACTAACTTAACCATTTTGTAATTGTACGGTTCTGAAGTGTTGTGTATTCACATTGTTGTGCAATGAATCTCCAGATCATTTTCATATTGCAAAACTGAAACTCTATACCCATTAAACAACTCCCCATTTCCCTCAGCCCTCAGCAACCACCATCTACTTTCTGTGTCTATGAATCTGATTATTTTATACAGTACATGTAAGTGAAAGCACATAGTATTTGTCTTTTTTGTGACTGGCTGATTTCATTTAGTATAATGTTCTCAACGTCCATCCATGCTGTAGCATTCAGCAGGATAGCCTTCCTTTTTAAGGCTGAATAATATTATATTATATGCATATACCACATTTTGTTTATTCATTCATCTGTTGATGAACAATCTACATTTGTGTTGTTTCCATCTCTTGGTTATTGTGAATTATACTGCTGAGAACATGTATGTGCAAATATATCTTTTAAATCCTGCATTGAATTCTTTTGGATATATATAACTAAATATAAACACACACTCCGATATATACACACACCCAGAACTGGGATTCCTGGATCATATGGTAATTCTATTTTCAATTTCTTAGGAACTTCCATGCTATTTTCTATAGCAGCAGAACCATTCTATGTTCCGACCAATAATGCACAAGGGTTCCAGTTTTTTCATATCCTTGCCATTAAGTGTACTTTTGGTTGTGATTTAGCATGAATTTTGTAGGCCCAAAGAGCTGAAAGAGACTCTAAAGTAGAACAATAATATATTTTGTAAGAGTCAGTTAATACTTGTGAGCTTACCATTAATGCGACAAAACATCCATTTAAAAAATCTTATATGTTCATTAATTCATACACATTTTAGCACATTAATGCATCACTGTCATAACCCCTTCAAGGAAGAATAGACAATAGGAAAAAACCTGGTTCTATTCTAGACTCTGGTCTAACCTCTAACAATTCACCTATCTGAGCCCTCATCTTATTGTTTATTACATCTATTGCAAAGGTGAATGGGTTAATATTTTAAATTTGTGTGCATCTGCGTGGATGCGCTACTAAAAAGAGAAAGCCCTAGACAACAAATCATAGAACCTGTGCAATAGTAGGTTCTAGATTTATTGTCTAGGGCTTTTTCTTTTTGCAACACACACACACAACACACACACACACACACACACGTACTCAAAATAATAACCCAAATATCTTTGCAGTAAGTGAGAGCTGTTGGCGTTGCCATTAGGCATGACTACACTTAAACCACTTCAGAAAAGATTTCAAGAAAAGGAAGAGTTCACAGTTTGGAGTAGATTTTTAAAATGTTCAAGTTTCTATCATCGCAAAGTTCATTTTAAAGTGTTATGATTATTGGCCTGCTTCCTCTGGCTCTGTGTCCAAAGACTAGCTGTTCACCCATATTTTATCTCTTTCACTTTAATGATAAAGACCCAAATTTTGAAAATTAGGTAAGGGCATATATATGCTGACTATGGAAAGAGAAAGTACCTTTTAGAGCCAGAAAAGGTATATTTGAGTGAAATAAAATGGCTATTCTTCCAAATTGGTAGAAAATTCTTAAGGATTCTACCTACAAAAGTGGGTAGTGTCTGAAAACAGAATTTAAGAGGATTTAATTATGCAAACAAATGCATGGTATCTGAAATAGTGGACAAGGATTGTTTCAGGGCTAAGTCTCCATTTCATCGCATACATCTATTTCTTGCTCATTAGGAGAGAGATTTTTGAGAAAAGAACACTAACTTACATGGACAATGGATCTGATTCACCCTGCCAATTGCAAATAATGGCAGAAAATTATGAATATTTTTTGGCCTAAAACTTCATGGATAAAAATGAAAAATTTAGTGACCTCTTTTCTCTAACAACACAGAAAATCTTGCCTGACTTTACCTAGAGTCTAGGGTCTAGGTCATGGACTTGATCCAGTGAGATGGTTGGGCAGGGCACAGCGCCAGGGATTCAACTTCAGGGATGCGGTCACATGACTATAACTGAACTAGAAGCATTACATCAGGACTGACCACTCTGGCTAAACCACAGACTTTGTCCAGACAGTCTGCCCACTTTAGTTATACTCCAAGGGGATCATCAGACTGTTGGGAGTGGCTGGAACACCAAAATGATACCTCCTTGTTGACTCCCAGAGGTCCAAAGCATACACTTTTCCCATTTAGTTAAAGGCTACTGTTGCCCGCCACTAGCATGACTTACTTGGTAGGAGGGATGTCTGTAGAGAAAAGGTCTATTTCAGTATCAGCCAGCAAAACAGCCTTCATTCCCCTAGAGCTGAGCACTTGTTTACAGAATTTGCAACACAGGATGGACACGCACCGGTCCTTGAAACTACAAGTGCTGGTAGACATGGCGTCCCGGGAAGGATGCGGTGTGGGATTTTGAAAGAGGAGACAAGAGCAGTCCCTTTCCTAGTTTGATTCCCCCAGGTTAAAGATCAAATTGCGAGGTCTAGAGCTTTTCTAAGCTCTAAACTTTAGGGAAGGAAATGAGTTCTTTTCTGTTTTCCCGTGGGAGGGTGAAAGTAATATTTATTGAGGAGGAGCAGGGCGAAGCAGCATATGTGGCTTTCCTTTTAACTTTCGGGGAAGGGAGTGGGGTTTGAAGTTGGGGGGCGGCGAGCTGCAAGGCGCCTGGGGAACTTCCCTACGGTAGGCTCCCCAGCCTCGCGTCTAAAAGGCTCCTCTACTCTTCAGCCCCCGCGCCTTTAGCAATTCCCTAAACTTTCTCCAGCAGTGTCTTTCCTTGAAAGCTCCTCTCCTAAGCCCCTCCCTCCGAGCTCTCCAATTCCTCCCCCTCCTCCCCCGGATCACCGGCCAAGCGTCCCTACCCACGCCTCGTCTTTGGAAATCTTTCTCCTCTTCCCAGGGTCCAGAAATCCCCTTGGTTTTTCCCACCCGGACGAACCCCGGTTCTCTTCAGTCCTCCCGGGACCCTCCCCCGCTCTGCTCGCTCGCGAGCCCCCACTTCACTTCTCTCCTGGCAGCCCCCAGCCCTCTGCGTCCTGGCTGGTTCTCGCGCCGTTTCTCTCGGTTCCCCGTCCCTCAGCTCTCCCTCGTGCCCCCCGCCGTCCCCTTAGGTCTCCCTCCGAGCGGCCGCTCCGGAGCGCGCGGTGGGGTTGATAGGACGGGGCAGAGATCGCTTTTGGGGCTCAGTCGGCGCTGAGGCTCTGTCACCGAACGCGTCGTTTTTTGCTCCCTCTTCCGCTCTCTCTGCCTTTCCAACCGGCTGTCAGTTTGAATTGCCGGCGCCGCGCACCGATTGGGAGAACTAGAGTTCGCCTGCGTCCCGCATTGGAAGGCTCCGGAGCCTTCCCCTGCTGAGACCTTAGTGGCTTGGAGACCCTACGCCCCGCCTCAGTAACGGTGCTGTGATCAGCTCAGCTTTATGGTTGGTCGAGCTTGGCTCCGCCTCCGCCCTCATTGGTCGGCCCCGGGAGTTTTGGGCATATCCTACTTCGGCCCCAGTGAAAGAGTCAAGGCACGCCCTTCGCGGTTCTTATTGGAAGACTTTCTACAGTCCCGAGGTCTCTACTCTCTATTGGCTAAAATACTCCGCAACGCCCCTCCTCTCTACCCCGGTCCAATTGGTCGTGCTTTCCCTCAAGAGTTTGTGTTTGGCTGTTGGTTCCATTTTAACTCCGCCCATTAGTTCTACTTTAGGGCTCGGCAACCCTGGGAGGAGCTTACTCTGTGACCACGCCTCGGTGGTGCTAGTCACACCTCCGAGTTTCGCTAGCTCCTCCTTCTCATTCCTGGCCTCTCGGGATCAGCTATTCCTATTGGCTACAGGCCCCATCGGTCGATAGAAAACGGGCGGTGATTGGTAAGGGGGTGGGCTCTGCTTCCCGGCGGGGTCCTGCGGAGTTGGCGGAGGCTCCTCAGGGGACTAGGGGACCGATCTGCGTAGAAGCGTGTGGCGGGGAAGAGGGGAGGAGATCTCAGAGTGGGAAGCGGAGCCGGGGGCCCGAGACCCGTCGCGTCAGAGCCAGGTAAAGGCTCCTTCCCTCTCCCCTTTCCTCTTCTCGGCCGCCGGGCTGGAGCCCTGACTGAAAAAAGCCCGGCAGGGGCGGGAAGGAGAGGGCGCGGATGCTGCTGGCGGCATCGCGTAGCGGTGCCGCCCGGAATCCCTCAGACCCCCTCCCCCCCGACCCTCTCCAAATCTTATAGTACAGCCCATAATACTTCTCAGGACTGCATCTCTCTCTGCCCTTCACCGCACAGCCTGGGACTCTGCCCTGGGACTCTGCTGCCGCGAAGCCCGCACCCAGCCCCCTCCCCAAGTCCTCTGCACACAGGCAGCCTTGCGTCCACTTTTGGGCAACCGTCGCTGGCATCACCCGTAACCATCGGCTACCTTCTTCCCCTATCTCCAAGCCCTGGCAGACAGCCGGGTTACAGCCCAGGACCCAGAAGGGTAGTTGTTCCGCACTGCTTCCGGGGCTCTTGCCCTGTCCCAGCCCGCGGCCCGCCTGGAATGGCTCCTTTTACGCACCCCGGTTCCCAGACCGGTAGCGGGTCCCCCAAGTTGCTAACATCCTTACGCTTCATGTAACATCGTGGCCCACAGTAGTCTCCTCACCCCCCCCACCCTGTACCCTCTCTCCACCTCCCAAGCGTGTGCCGAGGCTCCAGTTAACTCCGGCTCCCGTGCAGCCTCTGGACCCCACCTCACACCCCCCTCCCCGCTTCCTGCCCGCCTGAACCACCACGCCGCCTGGGCTCCCTCTTCCTCCGGGCGCGGGAAGTGGGAGACACCGGCGGGAGCCCCCCCCCCCCGCCCCCCCCCCCCCCGCCACCTCCTGACAAGGAAAGGGTAAGGGGCGACCAAGGAGGGAAGGTAGCCGCTGCGGCACGGTGGGGAACAAGACTCCCGACTCTGCGCTCCCGCTGCTTCCCTCCCGCCTCCCGGGCCTGGGCCGGGGCGGGATTTCCTCCGGCACCTCCTGGTGCGAGGAGTCGGGACTGCGACCCTTCCGACCCCCCCTCCTCCCCCAACCTGGGTCTGGGTGCGGTATCAGGGATCTCTGGGCAATGGTGACAAAAAATATCGGGGGTGGCATTTGAGAGTCACTCTCGTTCCTGGCTTGGGGGAGGCGGTGGCTGCCTTCCGTCCCCCGCCCCCGGGTTTTCCCGACTCCGACCCTAGCTTCTAACCCGTTTCCTGCTTCTGTCGACCACATTGTTTTCCTGGATGTGCCCCGTGCCGAGCAGGCTTTTTCCTGCAGGTCTGCCCCCCCCCCCGACCCCGCCGAAACATTTTGCTGCCAAGAGAAGCTAGTAACCAAAAACAAAACAACTGGGAGGAGGGGCGGGAGGGGAAGAAAAGTTGTGCCCGGGTGGCTTGTCCCTCCCTGGCTTTGATCCTTTTTGATGTCCAGGGAGTTGCCCCGGCCGGGGGTCAGGGGCCGCGTCGGAGCCACTGCCGAGAGTGCTGCCTTCGGCTGGCGGCTGCCCAGCGCTGGCGGGGCTCGGAGGCCGCCGAGGTGCCGCAGTCCCCGCCCGGAGCCCCGCGTTCCCGCCGCAGTCCCCACCCGAAGCCCGCGCAGGCGGCTGCTCCGAAGTGTTTTCTTCCAGCCTTAAAACAACCCGGAGGGAGCTTCCTTCCTCCGCACCTCGCCGCGCCGGGCTCTGTGGGCCGGCCGGGCGGTGTTTGGCCGAGATGAATGGGCCCAGGCCGGGCTTGGAACGACGTCCCCTACCCCACCCCCGCCGCGATTAGGATCTGCGCTGGGACTGATCGCCCCCTCCCCTTTTCCCTGCATTTACAGGCAAGTGAACCGGAGCAAACGACTTCCGATCCAGTCTGCGCTGCTGCGGCTCCCGTTTGGGATTTGATTTGCAGCATCTTCGAGCCTGTGCAACAAAAAACCGCGAAGCACGCCCAGCCCTCCCCGGCACCCTTTTACGCACCCACTCCCTCCCGGGGACACAGCTGGGCGCGTCCACACCCCCGCACCCCCCACACCATGTTGTGCGGAAGGACTTCCACTCCCTGCCTCTGTCGTTGATGTCAGACCCCAGGCCAGCCTCCGGGCGCTGCAGTTCTCCCGGCTAATGCTGAGGCTGCGGCTCCGGCTCTAGCACAGGAACCAGCCGCCGCCGCGCCCGGCCCCAGCGCCCACCGTCTGCATGTGCCCGCCGTAGCCTTCTGCCCAGCCCGCAACCCGCGCTCCCCGGAGCGCTGGAGACCACCGCGGGGGGCCCCTTCTGCTCTTGGGAGAAGCAGTCTTGGAGGTATTGATTTCGGTGGTTGGATTTTTCCCGTGGATCTATCAATTCACAATTTGAATTTGGAAGAAAGAAGGAAAACATGACGTCTCCGGCCAAATTCAAAAAGGATAAGGAGATCATAGCAGAGTACGATACTCAGGTCAAAGGTAAGGGCTTTGAAAAATAGCATAATGCATATGCTCTGTGGACCATTGAGGCATGTATTTCCACCCTGATTTGCAGGATGTTCATTTCTTTGGGTGGAGCAGGTGGGGGCAGGCTGAGCCCAGGGGTGGTTTCATAGGTGGGTTTGAGCCTCCGAGGGATGGGCTGTGCCAGGGGCCACCGGCTCTGGAAAGGAATTTTCAGAGTGGGCTTTAGGTTTGTTCTGTAGGGCTGGCCCTGATTTTGGCAGCCCTCTCCCCCGAGGCTAGATAGGATGGGGGGAGGGGCGGGAGGTTTTTGGAGAGAGAAAGGCGGCAATTTGCCTCTGGGTGTCTGGGTCAGGTTTCCTTGAAGGACAACTGAAATCTGACAGGTGTTTGGGAATTTATTTCTGAGATTGAAGAGGAGTCCAGGTAGGGAAAGGCAACCTTGAGAAGGTATACCATTTGGGGAGCCCTGGGAGAGGTGGGGGTTTTTCCTGAGGCACTATATCAAAAGGTGACATTTGCTATGGCATCGGACACAGAAAGTCTGTGGCCACCTTGGGTGCACCTTGTACCTACCAGGTCTCTGGTTGCCTTGCATTCAATCAGAGATCAGGGAACCAAAAGAATTAAGATCATTTCACACCCTGTCTCCGCCCTCACCTAAACGTGAATGGAGTTGGGATGTTAGGGTTGCTGGGTGGTGCTGATTTTGGAGAATGGGAAGACATAATTGTTTAACCCTTCTGTGTTGTCACCCTCTGCTCCAGAAGCCTTGCTTTTAAAGGCCCAGTTCCGTCTGCAAAAATGTGAAGGGTAAAGCAAAATGTGGCTAAAGAAACCAGCTGACCTGTCTGCACATTTAGTTGACTACCTGACTTGGTGCATGAATCAGAGCCCATTCCCAGACAACCTTTTTTAACCAGTCATTCCCATAGGAGGGTTCCCGCCTGTTAAAGAGCCCCAGGATGTGTTTGTGCAAGGCACCGTCCCTTTCTGGGCAGCCACTGGGAAGAGCCATGTGCTCTAGCCCATTGAGACTTAAGCTGGGGAGTGGGAGAGGTGGGTGGCCTTGAATGTTACACCACATGGTTGGAGCTCTGGGTTTTCCTTTGTTTCAGAGTACAGAGGGAGGGGCCCCTCCTTCTTTCCCTGCACCAATGCAAGGAGACCTTTTCCTATCATAGAGGACTTGGGAAGGGCCATGTCTCCCTTCTAATGATCGCCCGGGGTGGGGATAGTGTAGAGCTTGAAATGGGCAGCTGCCTTATCTCTTGGAAGGTTGGAATGCAGTTTGAAGTCCCCATTTTGCCTGTAGGATCTTTTTAATGTCATCAGCTTGGTCAATGCTAGAGGTGCCCTGAGGGACCTTTTCTCCACTTGGCTGCAAATATTGGTGGGTTTATTACAGAGATGGGGGAGTTGATTGATTGATAGCTTCAGTTGAACAGGGATTGGGAGAGGTGTGGTTGTGAGTTATAATTGAGGTCTTGGCCTCTTGTCACTGTTCATAATCTGGGCCTGTTTTTGTAAACAATCGGCCACTGGCCTGTGTCCTGTCCAGATGCACTGTGTTCTGCTCCTGGAATCTCCCTTGCCATTTTAACCAGATATGTCACCCTGTTTTTTTACATACCCTATTCTTAACTGTTGCCATAGGGAGTGTTAATAACTTTGACTTTCCCAGATTTCTCTCCAGAAGCACACCATTTGACTAAGGTGCAAAGTGATTTTACATGTTTATTTTTTGGAAGGTTCAGGGCTGATAGGTGTTAATAGAACCCTGTCTGCTGATTCCTATTGGTGAAAGATTTCTCACGAGTGTCTCAGAATTGAACACTTGTGTATTTACAAACATTGCTCATTGAGATGATGTAATGCAGTTGGCTATTTGGGGTTTCTCTTCAGTCTTGCCGCAAGCAGGGGACTGTTTTGCTTTGCTCTGATATTTTCACTGACAGTCTTCAGGATCATAGAATTTTATAGGTGGCCGAGCATGTTGTCTTACTCAGAGAAGGTGCCTGATAAAAAACTGATTTAAATGATTTAGTCCCTCATTTTATAGTGGAGGAGAGTACAGAGAAATTAAGAGGCTTGTCCAAGGTCACACAACTAGGTGGTGGTAGTTGGAATGAGAAGGAGGTTACCGACTTCCAATTCTCTGCTTTATTCTTTTCCTACTTACCATGAAACATCATCTGACCAGAATAGGAAACAAGAAATCTGTAAGAAGCCCAAATCTGTCAATGAATAATAGCAGTAGTAATAATAGTAATGGGTGACAGTTTGGGTGCTCATGATGTTCCAGCCTGTCCCAAGTGCTTTATATGAGTTGTCTTGTTTAATTCTCACATCAACCAGGAAGGTAGATATTATTTTACCCCGCCTTCACTGCATGAAGAAACAGGCTTAGAGAGGGTGAGAAGCCTTCCCAAGGTCACACAGCCAAACCCGGGCAGCTCGACTCCATTCCCTTATTCGTCAGCCCTTTATTTAGTGCCTTCTGTGTGTTCTAGGGGCTGGCGACAGAGCAGTGGACAAGACAAAGACCCCTCTCTTACAGAGCTTATGTTCTAGAACCCAGGTTCTTCGTGGAAGAGCATCGAGATTGGAGACAAAGGACCCGGGTTCTAGGTTGGCTCTGCTCCCCTGCTAGGTAGAAGCCGTCGGTCAGAATTCCTAGTTTAAGGTCTTTATGTGTTACATGGGACTGGTACTGCTGCTGGTCCTCTCTCACAGATGCCAAGATAAAAAGAAAAACTGCCCTTTTGGTCTGGTGGTGAAGAGCACAGGTTTTTGAGTTGAAGGGACCCAGCTTTCAAATCTCAGTTCAGTCACTTGCTCACCTTGCCCCTTGGGCAAATTCCGTGACTTATCCGAGCCTTAGTTTCCTAGCTGGAAAATAGGCAAAATACTGTGCATTTCCTGAGCAGTTGTGAGGAGTCAGAGCAAATATGAAAATCATTTGGTGTGGTATGTGTGCTCACCCGTAGTGCAGTCTGCGCCCCTCTTAGTGGGCCTGGCTTCCTGCTGCGTTGGGCTAACCATAAGGCCACACTGCCCATTCACCCCCAAGGCACCAGCTGTTTCACGATGGGGCACAAGTCTGGGAATGAAACTTGAGTTCTAGTTTCGGTTCCTCCAGTAGTGGTGAAAGGTATCTTAAACCCTGTAGACCTCAGTTTCCCTTTCTGTAAAATGAACAGGTAAACTGTCTGATTGTCGGCAGCTGTTTTGTATTCTCTGACCAGCGTCGTGGGTTTTGCCTTTTTCGGTCAGAGATGGTTTGAATCCAGTGGACTTGAAATGGACTCTGCGGTATCGTGTCTAACCTGTGGCTTTTGCCTCCCTTGATGCCACCTGCTTGCATGTGCCCCGAAGGGCTTCTGAGGCCCCAGCCCCAGCCCTCCCCCAGCGTGCGTTTATGAGGGGCGTGCCTCCTTAGTCCGCCTGCCCTGTAGCCGCCTTCTTCAAAACCATCATTGTTTCTGGTTTGTGGGTGTTCAGATTCCTTTGAAAGTTCATGCCTCTCAATGTCTGACTCGAAAGCAGTAATATTCTTAATGCTTTTACATGGCTCTTTCCAATTAATGAAACGCTTTCATATACATGAATCTCTGGAAAGTCTTGCCAGCCCTGGTCAGGTTCATGGTCATAACCTGAGGCCTTTTGGCCGGTTGCCTGTGAGCTTCTTTCAAGACTGGAGCTGCACAAGGTGGTGGAGTGCAAGGCCTGGTTACTGGAGGTGATAATCTGGGTGGCTTCGCATCACTACATAGTTTCCTGGCTAGCTGTCGCCCTCTCCTTACTCAGGACCCCCTTTCCTTTACCCTCGCCATACCTTGAGTTTTTCTAGTGCCCCAGAAAGCTTGAGATTGACAGTTAATGCAAATATTCCAGGAGGAATCCTCTGAAACAGAGTGGCACTGTGCTGGGCAGTCAAATTTTCTTTCTTGAGAACATTGGGGGTCTTGTCCTTTTTTTTTTTTTTTTTTAATGTCTTAGAAGGGCGGTATGTGTGCAGCACAGAGCTGAGAAGTGAAATTCTGTAATTTCCATCTGGAGCATTTTGATAGAAAAGCCTCAGGCCTTTGCCTGGAACAGTTTAACCCTTTAGGACCCTTTTCGAGCAGGAGATGAAATTTAAAACTCCACACATATTGTGTGTGCACACACACTTGGGGATGTGGATTGCTGGTATTTAAACAAGCTTGTTCCCCCGGGAGGTCTGAGCGGTTCTTCACTCATGCCAACAAAGGTCTTCTCCGAAGCTTCTTTCCTCCCAGCCCCCACTCCCCAAGGGAGCTTTAAATATAATCAGTTTGTGAAAAGCTGCAGTAAAACATCTCCTTGGAATCCCCAAGCAGATGCTATCATCTTCCTGCCAGATGATTGAAGGCGTCTCTTCCCTTGCTCAGGGAAAATAGGACTCTGCAGTCAGCTGAACTCCTGGAAGGAAAGGAAGCTCTGGGAAAAATGGAGCACTCTGGATGTCAGGGTTGGAAGACCAGGAGAAAGGTGGTGGGCAAGGAGCTGGGGATGCCGTGTGCTGTGCAAAGCAGCAGTGGCGAGACCGTGTTTGTGAAGAGCCCTCTTGCAATTTCAGGCATCCTCTTAGGGCACGGGAACAGAAATATCTTCAGAGAAGCCCATCTGGTGGTTATGACCACATGGTCATGCACTGCCCAGGTTGGAAGCCAGGACGAGGCCCAATCATTTCTCTGCTGTGAAGTTTAGAGTCAGACCCGGCCCTGATCCGTAGGGTCCACACCCTTTTCAATTAGCAGGTGCCCAGCTCCTGACTCTTATGTTCCCATTGTTCGCTCCCGATAAACATGGGCTGCCAGTGGTACCTGTGGAGCCCTTCTTCCGGAAGAGACGTTTTCTTCATGGGAATTGTGCCTACCTTCCACCCCAGGCCTCCGAGGGCTTTGTTAGGAAAGTATTAGGTCATGTGGCAGGGGAAAAAGAAGTCAATATGTAGATCTCTGCTGGTAGTAAAATGCAAGGGAACAGTTTTAATTTAGTGTCAGCTACAGAATTGGCCTTTTAGGGAATCTGGGAAAGTCACCTCAGAAATTGTTTGATTGAAATATCAACGAGAGCACTTAAAAAACATTTTTAAGAATTACAAAATAACACCTTTACTGATTTTACAGTAATGCGTAGGAACTTTTGTCTCTTTCATGGTGGGAAAATACAGCGTGAAATTCACTCTCTGAACCATGCTTTAGTGGACAGTTCAGGGGCGGTTAGAACATGCCCACTGTGCAAACGAGCACTACCATCCATCTCCAGAACTCTGCATCTTGTCAAGTTGAACTCTGTCCCTATTAAACAATTCCCGTTTGCCCCAACCCTGTATCTCGGACTGCTCTAGGTACCCCATATAAGTAGTATCATGCTGTATTTGTCCTTTTGTGATTGGCTTATTTCACTCAGCGTTAAGTCTTCAAGTCTCCTCCATATGGTAGCATTTGTCAGAACTTTACTTACTTTTTAAAAGCTATTGTATGTGCGTACCACATTTTGTTATCCATTCATCTTTCCATGGACGCTTGGGTGGTGTCTACCTTTTAGCTGTTGCAAATACTGCTGCTACAGGCAAGTTTTACAAGCCTGTGTATGCATTTCTACATAATCTTGTGTCCTGATAAATCTTTTAGAGTTAAGATTTAAATATACATGTTCATATGTTCATATTATGAGTATATACTTATGTTCATAATATGAACATTCTATGTGGATAACAATTTTAGACCTTTTAATAATTACATGAATTACTAAATTTTTATTGTATTTTTTAACAGCTTTATTGAGGTTTAATTGACATGTAATAAACCACACGTGTTTAAGGTGTACATTAGGTAAGTTTTGACATATGTCATACACCCATGAAATCATCACAATCAAGATAAGTGAGCAGAACCATCATCACCAAGAGTGTCTTCATTATAATGTCATTAAATGAGTAATATAATAACCACATTATAGAAATGACACTAACTTAAAAATAAGTAAAAGCCAGGTATTACCAAATTTAAAAACTATTTAAATAAATAGTGATCCAAGCTACCAAGCTACCCAGATTGGTTCCTGGAAATTTTATTTATTTATTTATTCATTGCCTTAGTGAATAAAGACAAACAGTCTCCTAGAGAAGTTGGGTTAATAATTGTGCCTTAGCCATTACTATGTGTTTGTGGGGGGAAGGTACAGGATAGAGGGAACGAGAAAAGGAAAAAAAATCTTGGACACATTAGGCGTTGATTCCGAGTGACAGTATCTGTTTTTCCTAAAGACCTTGCTTGAACCAGTCCCTAGGGCCTCACACTTCTTCTGAAAGGGTCACAAGTGAGCCAGATGCCAGAGGGTGGGGCTGGGGGGCTCCCCTGGGAGATCTGCTCAGAATGCCATGAATATGGCTTATTTCCTCTCATGATTGATTCCCTGCTGAGAAGAGACCAGCTTCCCAGGTGAACATTCACTTGGTCCTCAATCTTAGTCTCAATTTTATCATCAACCATATCTTTCATTTTACTGTAAGAGGACTGGAGGCCTGTCTGGACTATTTGCCATCCTTGAAACACATCTACTATTAACTACCATTCTGCTGTTTATTGGGGCTTACCATGTACTTATGCTAAATACTTTACATAGATTGTCCCTAATCCTCACACTAACCCTAGGAGGAGTATATTGCTCTTGTCCCATTTTGTTGATGAATAAATTGAGGTGCAGGCAAATCAGTGCCTCGCCCAGGGGCTGCTGCTGGTAAGTGATGGGACAGGAATTAGGACCTGGGCTGTTACCAGAGTCTGAGTCCGAGTGCTGTTCCTGGGGTGCTGCTTTCTCCCCGCCCAGCTCCACAGCTTCACCTGCTGAAATCTCACCCTGCTGGGTGCCTTCCTTGGTCACTCTTGACTAGAAAGGACCCTTTTCTCTGGGATGACTCACATGGCACTCACCTTGTACCACTTAAGTTCTAAATATGTGCTTTCAGCCTTCTGTCGTCTTCTAGACTTCAAATGTTTTGAAGTTGTGTAGTGCCACCCAAAGAACCCAGGCTTTGGGACGGGCCCTCAGTGGGAACCTTGTCAATGTCACCTCCTTGCCCTGTGGCCTTGCTCAGGTGACTCAGCTTCTCCTCCAAGCATGCTCTCCTGTGACGTAGAGATAGCAAGACCTACCTGGCTGGTTTATTGTGAATGTGTGTCAAGTGTATGGCAAATTGTAAATGCTAAATACGTAGCTCTTATTATAGGGGACCCTTCGGGTAGGAGCATGTCTAGAACAGTATTGTAGCCCTAAATGGTGGCTCTTGGTGAACATTATCGAATATGATGATGAATGCAGAAGTGTATGACCTGAACTACTGCAAATGATTTTTAAAAAATAGTTTCTTACTTTGATCTTGACAATATATCTTATACAATACCACCAAGGTGATTTAAAAAAAAACAAACAAACACTATTATGCTAAGATTATAGCATAGAAGACTATTTATACCCATCATTTTGCTCTTACCCTGCTTAATTTTATACCATCACAAAGCTGAATTGCCCCTAGTTTCCTTACCATATTACATTATTTCATGATTCTTGCTTTATCCATGCTGTGTCCTCTCTTTGGAATGGATCCTTTTCCTCAAACCTGGAAAGCTCAGTCATCCTTTAAAAGCCAGCCCAGATGCCACCACCTCCAGGAAGTCTTCCCTGCTTGTCCCTTCTCTCTGCACAGTGATCCTGTGCAGGATGCAGAGCGGGATTCCTCTACATCTCCCCTTGCTTTCTGCACAGGGTTAATTAACACACCCTGAGCATTTCCTCAGCAGTGTCCTGGTGCTTCTATTACTGCATTCATTCTATTACATTGTAATCTCTTTGTTTACATCTTTTTATTTATAACTCACTGAGCACCTTGGGAACAGACCTTTTAATCACTGCCATGTGTCCAGCTTCTGGCACAAAGAAGCACTAAAAAATGCTTGTAAATGGAACCAAACGGTTTCTGAGTTGAGGTGGGATATGACGTGCCATGCTTCTGCCTTTCTCCCGCTACTCCAGTAAAAAGGCTTCTTCTTATGTTACTGTTGTTTGAAATTCAGAGTGGATCAAAACATGGTGAAGACTGTCATTATGGAAGGGCAGATACATACTGTATAGCACTTGGAGGCTCCCCCGGGTCGGGGGGTGTTTTTCCTTATTTACTCCCGCCTCTACCCTCTTTAAAATCACTGCCCTGGAGCTCTAATTGAGTTGATCAAATTTCGTCAGTCATGTTTCTTGCCTCGGAAACCAAGAAAAATATTAACTCTCAAATTGCAGAGTGTAAAACAAAAGTAGGGTTTTCTGTAATTGAAGCAAAACAAATTCTACATTTGTCCAGGATTTGTCATTTTAAACAGATATTTGAAGTTGAAAGTTGAGAAAGTTGAGGTCTATTTTAAAACAGAGTTGACTCAGCAAAGGGACTGTTGTGATACTTTTTTGAAGCATGGGTTTGGAGAGAGATGTTGGCTGCTTCGAAGCAGCTGTATGATCTATGGAAGATGGGGAGGAAAGGTCCAAAGGGAGAAACAGGGAGACTCTCCCCTCTGATTTTCAAGTCATTTGGTATTCAGTAGCCTTGACCTTGTTTATACATTGTGAATGAATGGTTCTGAACTTGAAATTTATATTTGTGAGGAAGGAAAAACAGTTGGGGAGTGCTCCTCCTTCATTTCTGTGTGTGTATTTTAAGATGCCATCTGTTAGCAAGAAGGCAGTCTTTTAAAATAACCTTTTCTTCTAAAGATGCACTAATCAGTGGGCAGGTGACCTGAGAGGCATTATGAAAGTTGGGACCTTGTCTTTGCTCTCTGATCCCAGATCCTGCATTTCAAATCACAGCTTGGTGGGCAGGGTCTGAGTGCTCTCCCTGTAGAGGATGACCTCACCAGCCCTGGGCGTCTGGGTAGCCAGGGCTCCACAGGAAGACAAGGTACAGAAAACAAAGGGATCCAAGATCATGAGCTGGCCAAGACATGCCATGCCATGCGCTTTAAGAAATACATCCTGTTTCTAAAGAGTTGGCAACAGTTTCTCCAAACGTCGGGATCCTTTAGAGATCTCCCTTTTCCACTCGTCTTTCTCTTGTGTTTTTATTGATTGATTGATTGGGGTGGAGGGTATTGGGCCAGAACTTGTCGGATGAGTAAGCTGCTCTTTGGGGAGGCATCTTGACTGAGGTACCTATTTTGGAGCAACACTCCCTTTGGGTCATCACAAATTGAACTACAGGGTTCTGTGCAGGGAGAATGGTTCCAAGGGAAAGAGTGCCATTTGGAGGCAGAAAGTTTGGCTTTTAGTTTGGCTTTACCATTTACCACTGTGATTTGGGGGGTAACTCACCTCAGATCTCAAAGACCTGAGACAGTCATTCTTGGCCCTAGCTAACAATTGACGAAGATGATGGTTGCTAGCATTTATTGAGTGCTCTTTATGTTTAAGCTCTAAGTGCTTTACATATATTAACTCATGAATCTCCCAACAGCCCTATGAGGTAGGTGCTTTTATGGTCCCCATTTCACAGGTAAGGCACTGGGAGGCTACCTAAGTTACCCCAAGGCACACAGCTGCTAAGTGATGGAGATGGAGAATGAACCCAAAGTGATTTAACACTGTTGTAGTCGATAGTTCTCATTTCCTAGGATCATGATGCATAAAAGAGTTCATGCCGTGTTCTAAAGTCTTTCTGGGACACACCAGCTGACCCCCCCCCCCTTGGTTTTCTCATCTAGGAAATTTGGGCTTGAATCAGAAAATTTCTAACGCCCTCCCAGCTTTCATGCTTATTCTTATTCTTGCTTACTTAAGATACTGAAGATGACAGTTTTGCCCCTCTTAAGCAGGCACACTTGTAAGAACGAAACCCGCTGTATTCTCTGAACTTCGCTCTCCCCGGTCCCAGAGCTTGCTGTGTCTGCCTGGCTGATGCACACATACAGGACAGAAAGAAAAAGGAAGTGGGGTGATTGTCTTTAGTTACGATTTAAGAAATAGGGAAATGGGAGGCTTTTAAATCCCTGACATCTGGGCTGGGACAAACTAGGGGGAGGCCATGTGGATGTGGAACCGGACTAGGGTTCATACAGACATCTGGGCTATGGGGGAAGTGACCTCGGGCTCTCTGAGGATGTAGGATGGTGTCTTGCCACTTGTACCCCTCTTCATGGGGTAGGCCCTTTGTCAACTAAGGGATTTGTGTGGGGATTGTGATGAGGTATGCTGTAATATGGAGTTGAAATGTTTTCGCGTTTGTGTTTGTTTTCTTTTCACCTAATGAATAGGCTAAGAAACAGTCTGCTGTTTTTAAATGAGTACTGTTAATAATAATGACAGCTCATATTTTTATCATTATGGCACTTAAAAAAAGATCATTCACAGGGAGGCAGGGACGGTTGTAGGATAATGGAGGACTAGCTGCATAATGTTGGACAAGTCCTTCTACCTTTGGTATTCCCACCTCAGTGGGAAAGTAGAAAGATGGATTACTAGTTCTTTGCTTCATCATTTTTAGGACCTGGGACCAAAAACTGGTTATTATAAAGTGAGTTGCCACGTAGCGTTTCCATGTTGATTATTGTCCCGAGGGAGGGATAGAAACCAGAGAATGGCTACCATAGATTCTTCCTGCTCATCTCTCCTACTCCTGGCTTAAAGTTTTATCTTTAAACGACATTAATAGGCTGTGTGTTAGTCATTGTTGGAGTCGACTGTGCTATATCTCTTGATCTCTCTTATTTATTCAGTGATTTGTGGTGATGTAACTTATCTCAGCTCTTTGCCGTCAGCAATTTTCAGTGAAACATTGAAGCATTTTGGGTAGATGGTGTCTGTTGCTTTGATTAATGAGGTTCTTGATCTGGATATTTTAAGGTGGGTAATGACACAATTTAAAAACACCTAGTATTCTTTAAAACTTTAGTAGCACTCCCACTGCCAAACCTGAAACCGATTTGTACCACTTCCTTTTCTTCCTTCCTTCCTTCCTTCCTTCCTTCCTTCCTTCCTTCCTTCCTTTCTTTCTTTCTTTCTTTCTTTCTTTTCTTTTCTTTTCTTTTCTTTCTTTCCTCTCTCTCTCTTTCTTTCTTTCTTTCTTTTAATGATTTTATTTATTTATTTGACAGAGACACAGGGAGAGAGGGAACACAAGCAGGGGGAGTGGGAGCAGGCTTCCCGCCGAGCAGGGAGCCCGATGCGGAGCTCGATCCCAGGACCCCGGGATCATGACCTGAGCCGAAGGCAGTCGCTCAATGACTGAGCCACCGAGGTGCCCCCATTTCTTTCTTTCTAAGAGTCAGATGTGTGCATGTGAGCTCTTATTTGCTCTTTTGACCGGGGAGCAGGACTGCTAGTCCAAAATGCCAGCTCTTCTGTATTCAGCAGCAAAAAGAGTTAATCATTATCTAGGTAGAAACAGAAACCTCCCAAGTTTTTAACCTGCTGTGGCCCCACATCTCCTCCTGACTGCTCCTAGAAGACCAGGAGCTTTTGGGCACAGCTGTGTACACACACACACACACACACACACACACACACACACACCTGTCTCTCTCTCTCTCTCTCTCTCTCTCTCTCACACACACACAACTTAACGTAAAACGATGTCACGTTTATGAGAGTTGGAATTCCTTGGGAGGGGTACTTGTGTTCTGTAGGCTCCGTGGACACGATGTGATAGCAGGCCTATCTGGCCTGTGGAGATTGCAGATAAGAGCATGATATGTAATTGAGTAAGAATTTGAAAAATTATCTGATAACATTGGGAGCAGCAAAGCACCCGCTTATGTGTGTTTCTTTCTTTCTTCTTTTTTTTTTGTTTTCTTTTCTTCTTCTTTTTTTTCTTTTCTTTTTCTTTTTCTTTTTTATTTTTGCTCAAGGACTATTCGGAAGAGGAGTAAGGAGCTAGCATTGTTTTCAGAGTTTGGGAGCCCCCCTCCCCACCCTGTGAACCAAGTATGTTTGCCCAGGCAGAGAGTGTGAGGTCCCTGAGAGATCTTGACAGATCATTTAGTACATTCTTCTGCCCCCCCAGGCAATTCTTCAGTCTAATCATTTCAGAAAAAGGGCTGTCAGCTAACCTTTAAAATCTTTTCCAGAAGAGTACACTGCAGCCTACCTTCCCATCTTGTTCCAGTGACCCAAACTATAAATGGTCAGTTCCTTCATTTGCAGAGCTTGAAACAGGATAAAAAAAGGAGGCCTGATGAATGGAACTCCTATTTTTGCAGCTGCCGCCACACCCTCTGTATGGTCCTTCGCTGCATTTGGGTTCTCGGGCTTGAGGAAGGAAGAGGTCTTTGATGAAACTCTCCAGGCGTTGGCTCAGGCTTCTGGGGTGTTCTTCCCAGTCCCCTCACCTCATCACTTCTACCAGTCTTGGGATACTTTGTATTAAACATGGAAATCATGCACCAGTTTCAACCAGCACCCGTTTACCTGGGCCCTACTCTGTGCTTGGTTTTGTGCTAGGTTGTGAGCATATAGAGACACGGAACAAGGTTTTGGCTTTCAAGGAGCTTCAGTGTATTAAAAGGGACGGACAGACTGCACAAGTACAGTGAAGGACCACAGTGGAGGGGTATGAAAGCCTGGTGATGAGAGAATGGTCTGACAGTGAGCGGTGTGGCTGAGGCTGGTTGAGATGGAGGATGGTGATTGTACCTAGTGTTGACTGCGCACTTAGCGGTCTGTGAAATGCCTTTCCATACTTTCTCTCATTTAGCCTCTGAATGGTGTGACAGCAGGGCAGGGTGATTTTAGGCCTTTTAAAAATTTTTGTTCTTTTTTGAAATATTTTATTTTGAGATAATTACACATTCATATGCAGTTGGAAGAAATAATAGATTGCAAAACCCTTTACTTAGTTTCCCCCAATGGTTAAAATCTTTCAAAACTATAGTACAGTGTCACAGTGAGGACATTGACATTAACATTGATACAGTCAAAATACCGAACAGCCTCATTACTACTGGGATCGCTCATGTTGATCTTTTGTAGTCCTGTCTCCTCCCATTATCCCCTCATCCCACCTCCCTTAGTACTGAGTCCTTAACTCCTGGAGCCACCAATCTGTTCTCATGACTATATTCTACAGTTCTCATGACTGTAGAATATCATACATGGAATCATAGAGTAGCCTTTTAGGACTGACTTTTTCTCACTCAGGGTAATTCTCTAGGTTGTTGCGTGTATTCCTAGTTCCTTCCTTTTTATTGGATAGAATCCCATGATAGGGATGTACATGGGTTTGCTAACAACCATATACCCATTGAAGGACCGCTGGGTTATTTCCAGTTTGGGGTTATTATGAATAAAGCCGCCATGAACATTCGTGTATAGATTTTTGTGTGAAGCTGTATTTTATTTTATTTTTTTTAAGTGGAGGCAGTTTTATGTGTTTTTTAATGGAAAGATTATGGATTAGAAGGTGGAAAATCTAGGTTTTGCTTCTCACTAGGAAGTGCTGGATATGTGTCCCTGAATTTATCATTTGCCTTCTTGAGTCTCGATTTCCTTGTCAATAAAATGTTACACTGTATGTTCTGTCTACATCCCAGGGTTGTTGTGTAGATAAATTGAGTAATAATATGATAACAAATTTATAAATGGTAATAAAATATAAACATATAGAAGTGGGATAAGATGCCATCTCACTGTGTTTCTGTCCTTTACGTTCTGGGAGAAGATGAGCTGGAACCTTCCCTAGAGTAGTTCTTGAACTGTAATCTAGAGATGGCTCTTTTAGGTTGTTTTTCTTTTTCTAATTACTGTGTGTATATCTATCTATCTATCTATATATCTTATATATCTTGGTTACCCATCCTTTGTTGCTGATATGGGTTACATATACCTCTCCCAGAGTTGGCTTATCTTTTCACTTTTTACTGGATTCTCTGATGTATAAGAAGTTTTATTGTAAGATATTCACATCTATCTAGCTTCTATTGTTGTTTGGACTTTTTTTTTTTTTTTTTAACACATACATCCTTTCCTGTCCTGAAATTATAAGGATATTCGCCTGTATTTCTTCTAACGGTTTTTAGGTTTTGTTTCTCACATATCTGCCTTGAATAAATGAGAAATTTATTTTTGTGAATGGTAAGGTAGGGACCTGACCTTATCTTATATTCCATATGGCTAACCATTTGTTCTAGTTTCACTTATCGAAAGGGTCCATCTCTTTCCCCATTGATCTGTAATGTCACATTAGTCTGCATGTCGAGTTTGCACATATTTGTGGGCAAGATGAACCTTCCATCGTGCTGCAGTGGTATTAACACTGTCCCACCTGGGATGAGAACTTCTTTCACTTAGAAAAAATTTCCTAAGGCTTAAAACTACAATTTTAACAAACTGTGTTTTGAAAAATTTTCAGAGACGCCCAGGGGAGGGGTCTTCTCTCTCATCTTGGGTTGGACAGCAGCGATAACCCCTGCAGAAGCCAGGACCTAGCAGTGAGGGGAGCAGGCATTTGTCATTGTTAAAAGAATACATATTTTGTGATTGTCAGTATTTCCAAATACATCACCTATGCCACAAGTAATTATTATGTAGGCTCCATGAGAGATTTAGAGGTGTCTAGAGTCTAGTCTGTATCCTTTACAATCATATAAACCGTGGAGAAAACAGCCAACATATACGAAAAGAAATAAAAAAAAAGAACGAACCCACAGCAACACAAGAGATGACATCAGCCAGTGGATGACTGAAAATGAGTAATGTTGATAAGAACTTGAGGAATTCCGAGATGGAGAGGTGTGGGCCAGAATGAATAAGCCCTTGACTGATGGAGTAGGCTTTGGCTGACTCCAGGCTAGGAGGGAAGAACAGAGTTGGTGTGCGCCTCCCTCAGTGGCCTTCCCACAGCCCCCACCGTGCTGACCAGTCCTGCATCACTTCCTACACCAGAATACAAGGGTGGTTTTGTCCGTCCTCACACCCACCTCCAGCCCCTTTCGCCAGAAACACGCTCCCTACCAGAAAGATGCTTTTGAGTTCCTGAGGGCGGACAGTCTTTCATTTCACGTTCCCAGCATCCAGCACCATGTTGGCTTGTGGTCGGCACCCGGTAAATGTTTGCTGAGTGAGTGGCCTCAGGTTGGAGCAGAGGAGGATGGGGCTGGCTGGTTTGGGATGATCTTGAAGGTCGCCCGAGTGTGGCTCTGTGCTGAGGCCGTGGAGGACAACAGGGGCAGTCTAATGGAGGCGTGGGGTGATGGCAGTTGTGTTGCAGAGAGACTCCCTGCTTGCTCCAGGCTGGCAAGAGGGGCCTGCGCCTGCCCACACAGTGGATGCTCGTCTGTGTGGGGCCCCTGCGGTGGGTGCCGCGAGCATGTTGCTAAATGTGACCAATTCGTAGAGCCACCAGTGAGGGAAGCGCGATTCTCCATTAACTGAACTAGAAACTTGTGCTCAGGCCCCGGTCCGAGGGGACTGGTGACTCCAGCCCAGGTCTGTATGACTCCAGAGTCCGCTTGTCCCTCTACCCTTGGCCTGTGCTTGACCACACTAATGTCCAGGGGTACTACTAAGACGGGGAGCTGAGCTGCAGAGGTGTGTGTGGGAACCAGGGACGAGGGGGGAGTCAGGTGGGCCTGAGGTTCCTAGCTCCCGGCACAGGGAGAAGGCTGGTGGCGAAGCTAGAAATAGTTGTGGGGAATCAGGAGAAGATGCTGCGCTTGGCAAGAGAGTGAGGGTTATTTTAGACTCCTGAGTTTGAGGTAACAGTTCCATTCAAGGAGGAATTTCATCAGGTAAGGGACAGTGCCAGTCCTTCCCCACACACCCCCCCTTCATTAAATCTGTCATTTTCCTTTCTTCTAAATTGGGAATGTTGCAGAAAGACTGTGAGATAGATGGCACCTTGGTGTACATGCCAAATACTTGACCTCGTTTGCAGCTTTTTTACATTTCAGTTTTGAGAAATGTTCCCCCCTTCAAGGGGACTCACTGTTTGTGTTTGAGAATTAATACCATTTTCTTTCCCCACACCCTGCAGGGGATGAGTCCTGGCTAAACAAGGAAAGGAAAAATTTGAGTTCTGAGCCTCTCTGCTCTGCTGATGAGCATCTCTCCTGCTCTGAGAAATACAGAAAAGTCGATTCAAGCCCCTCCCCACCCCCTCCACCCCCCCTAGCTCCCATGGTTGACAGAGAGCTGGCTAATGAACAAGTTATTTTAAAAGCATCCCGGGGAGTGTGGGAGAGGCTGAGTTCAGCAAAACATGACTGGGTGGTGCTGGTGCTGTTTCATTTCGAGGTGTGGAGGCAGGAGTGGCTAATGGCCTTAATTTGAATGACTTTGGGATGGTGCGATGGCTCCTGGATAGAGAGTTTGATTGGAGATTGTGATGTGGGATTTGTTTCTTGAGAGGGGATCAAGCTAAAGCTATTTATAGGCAAATATATTTTAGATATTGGCAGAGAACTGAATGTATTCCATCATCACCTCCAAAGGCTTTGAATTTTTGGTGTTATTTCTATTCTGAACAGAATGGCCTGTGATTTACTGTCATTCAGTGTGTTGGATCCAAGGAGACTGGAGGAATTATTGTCCTCCTTTTTATTTTTTCTTTCTAAGTAACAGAGATTACCGATGGTTGGCTTGGGAATTTTAAGCCCCAATGTGGTAGAACGAAACACCCAACTGGAGGTCTGAAGGCTTGAGTGCCAGACCCAGCTCTGACCCTTGCCATTAATTGCATGGCCCTGCATAATTCCTTAATCTCTCCTGGCCTCAGCATCTTCAGATGAAAGATGACCGTATAATACTTATAACTAAGGGTTGCTGTGTTGATTAAATGAGGTAACCATTTCATAAATGCTTTGTAAATGACGCGGCCCGAACGAATATAAACTAAGATTTTATTTGCTGCGACAGAAGAAGGTGGACAGTCTCTTGGAGTTTGTTTTCATGGGACTTAACCTACATAACATCGACTCAAGGATGTTTGTTAAAGTGAATCACCTGTTTCTCTCTGGGCCGTACTTGAAGGGACATGCCATGCTATGGTGAACCCTTCTAGCACCACCCCAAGTTCAGGTTGCTCTTACACAATATGGGCGAGATTTATGCACACACATTCTTCCCCCTTGGAAACAAAACAGCGACTTGGGCAGGGTAGACATCAGGAAAGTGACTTAGCCAGCAAATATGTGATTAATAACATAGATTTGGCCTAAGTGTTAGTGTGAGCCTCTGTATACGGATGGGTAAATGCTAAATAGCAAGTCTGCCAAGTAGAGCATGTTGGGGAATCCACTGGGCTCTGTTTATGCTGGAAGCCTACTGTGCCAGGGCTGTAGTCAGTACCGAACTAAGGAAATTCGTATCAGTTGACTATCTTGCACTTATTGTTTCGTACATCTTTCTCGCCTGCTAAACTTTGAGCTCCTTGAAGGCAGGGACTGTCTCTCTGTACCTTTGCTTTCCTGGCATCTAGTGTGGTGCTTGGCACATACTAAATGTTTACTGGATTATTGGATGAAGGGATGAGACCCTGCACTTTTATTCAGTTAGAGGGATTTTTGTGGAAGTCACAGATGTGTGGTTATTTGTGTGGTCATCTGATAACGTTGTAGATGTCTTCTCAACGGTCGGCCCTCACCGAGGGGGAGAGACCATATTTATGCATAGCTGGGTCATGCCTGCTGCCTCCCCCTCCTTCATCTGCCTTGGCCTGATGGTGCAGGGGTGAGGGTAACTAAACACTCTTCCCCACGGACTCTTTTCTAGAACTGTGCCCTCCCCCAGCCGCCTTTGCCTGTCTTCCTAGGCTGGCATCTCCGCTCATTCTCCGTCAGGCGGTCTTGCTCATACACAAGTCCATCGTCTTTGTCACCCTCCTCCTTCCAGTGCTTACCTAGTTCAAGAAACT